ACCAATGGGGTAAGAAAGGTAAACTTAAACATAAACTTAAAGAGAAAATAAGATTATTTTTCTTACCCTAATCTAATGCCAGATATTTTTTCTTGTTTTAAGCAAGAAATCATTGAATTTTGTTTTTTTTCTTTCTTTCTTTTTCCCCCCAGACAATAAGACTTTCTATCTTACGTTGTTTTGATTCTCAAATAAATCTTGATCTCGATCTAGGAAGGTTTAGATATTTGTACTGGAAAGCAAGACACAAATATTGGATAAGAAAGTGCATTTGCAGTGTAAGCAGCTGTTTCTGTTAAAGATAAAAGGCGACATGCAGTAGAATTACATAGTGCGCTAAATGAATAGAAAATAAGTGGAGGGGAAAGGTTGAGGATTTTTCACTTTAGTGTGTGAAAGTCTATGAAGTTTGCCAAAGCACAGAAATGCACACACAACATTTGATACAGATGATTACAGGTTTTAGTACAATGATGTTGCCCTTTATATTCAGAAAACAGCACACTTCAAGGTCTAGCACAACTTTGCGCAGGCTTATTAAGTTTGTGCAATGAAGAAAAGCGGTAATGTAAGACACATACTGTACAATGTGTGCGCCTATCTAGTAAAGGTTCTAGTAAATGGAGATCTTATCATGAAAATAGAACTCCCGAGACCAAAAAGGAAAAGCAATTGGTTCTGGCATGGAAAAGACTGCAACACAACTGACAAAATATCAAGCTCTACAGGTTCTTGGCAAACACTAAACCTCAAGGTGCAATCCAAAATCCTAAAGTGAAAACTGAAAAGGGCTGGTAATACTGAACATGCAATATATCTGCAGACCTGCATTATAACACCACAATAATAATTTCATATGTAGATATTAGTTTTGTATTTGGAGTTAGAAGGGGTTAAAATCAGATATGTGATTCTTAGAATGTCTGGGATGTGATAGTTGACAGTTACTCAACTGTTCAGCTGCATCTGTGATTGTGAATTTGTTACTTTGAAGCAAAAACTCATTTCATGTGGTGTTTTCTTTAGTGCTCATTCACACTGCAGCTCTGAAATGAAGGGTTGTGTCTTTAAAAGCTGTCATGCTTCACAAGCAACAGATGGAGTCCGGCACTAGCAGGACATGATGGGAAGGACACGCCAATCCTTTCCAAAGAAAACAAACAGGGTGTAGAATGTGTACAGAAATGTCACGGTTCATTAAATATAAGGATCTTACGATTGCCTTGTCACTGTAAGGGCATTGTCGTACACGAGAGACACCAAAGTTCTCTTTACACACACCTATTGATAAAATATATCGATAAAATTTTTTTTCTTAATTTTTATTAAAATACAATAAAAATATTTTTACTTCTTTTTCAGTGATAATATCTCTTTACATACAGATCTTGATGATGCACTGCAAAAAATAAAATAGTTTACTTTTTTCCAGTAAAACATATATTCTCTTTACACACAGTTCTCAATCTTGCACTGCAAAAATAATAAATAAAATATGAAGTATAATATAAAAATGTTTTACTAGTTTTCCAGTAAAAACCTAAGAGTTAAGTAATTTTTTTGAGAAATACTAATTTTCTGAGAATCTTCAATTACGCTGGCCTCATAAATCTAAATAAACACTCTAAAATGAGTGCCTCAACATTAAGAAAACAACAAATATAAATGTTTACTGGTAAACAAGAAAAAAAAAAAAAGCCAATTAAGATGATTTTTACGGTGTTATGTTATAAAAAAAAATTTAGTTGTTTAAATAAATTATAGTGGCAACATGTTGGCTATAAATGTAGTGTCTCAGTGTCCATTTAATTATGTAGCATATAAAACTGAGACCTAGTTCGATAGACAGATGAGAATGAGCATAAATGTTTCAGACAAGAGTCATGCAGTGCATGTCAGGGATCTGGAAGGAGGACCCAATTGCAGTGTGGCTGAGAATCTTCAATTACGCTGGCCTCATAAATCTAAATAAACACTCTAAAATGAGTGCCTCAACATTAAGAAAACAACAAATATAAATGTTTACTGGTAAACAAGAAAAAAAAAAAGCCAATTAAGATGATTTTTACAGTGTTATGTTATAAAAAAAAAATTTAGTTGTTTAAATAAATTATAGTGGCAACATGTTGGCTATAAATGTAGTGTCTCAGTGTCCATTTAATTATGTAGCATATAAAACTGAGACATAGTTCGATAGACAGATGAGAATGAGCATAAATGTTTCAGACAAGAGTCATGCAGTGCATGTCAGGGATCTGGAAGGAGGACCCAATTGCAGTGTGGGTAACAAGGGTTTGACAAAACAGATTAATACAAAAGGGTAGTGAGGTGTACAGGTGATACCACAACAGGAACACAAACATAACTAGGGAAGGCCACTGGGACAGCCTCAGACATCAACTGGCAGAATACTATAGCAGCAGAGGCGGCGGCAAGACCAGGCCGGTGGAGAGACCAGAGCAAGGCACCAAAGAAAATAACCAACACAAATAACTAAAACATCAACCAAAAAAAAATGAACACAAGAGATCAGGACTAAGAACTAAATGAACACTAAAATAAAAGCAAAAGACAAAAACAGACCAAATCCAAAAACAAGGAGCAAGACAAGAACCTAGAATTACAAGAGACAAGACTAGATCTCAAGAACAAACAGACAGGGGAGGGAGGGAGACAGGAACACATACTCAACCGCATCCACAGACAGAGACAAACACAGTGAGGGAAAGAATGACCACAAACCAGCAAAGACAATAGGGCAAGGGGCACTATAAATAGGGAGGAAAACACA